CTTTTGACTTGAACTCCCCCTGAAAGACAGCTGTGCACTTCCAGGTATGTGCCCAGGCATTTATTTTCCTACCACTTCATAGATGTATATCTGCAGTGTGAGACCTAAAGCACTGCTGCCCGTGACTTCTAGTTTCAGGAAACTTGCTGCTTACTTGCTGCTGTTTACTTGCTGCTCCCTATTCTCCTTGCTAGAGAGAAAGCTGTGCCTAAAGAACAGGGGTGAGTCAGATGCCCTTGAATTAACACTTTTTATATTAATCTGTCTAAAATTTAGAGTTTTGTGTTTACTTTCTGCAAAACAGCTATCAAGTTTACAGATAGCATCTGATAAAACTATACTACCATTTTCTTTTAATTCTATACCAAAATACCCTTAACTGTTCTACAACTCCTTCTATTAGTCTTACTCAAATATCTCAAGGCAAAGCTAAAGTTTATGTGTGTGGCCTGGTGTCAGATGAAGTTTGAAAACATCAGGCCACAGTCAGAGCTGAAACACAGCACACAGTACTTGGGAGTAGAAGGAGGCGTAGTAAAATGAAATGTCTCAATTAGGCTTTACAGTGGGATGGCATTTAACATCTTTTTACATTTTTTTTTTTTTCAGAATGAATTTTTATTTGTTTCATTTTACATACAATTCCATAAGTTGCATAATGATATCAATAACCTCTGCATATATGGCTATTTCATATCTAAAATGTCTTAATTTCTTCTTAATTACAGGTGAAAAATAAGTCATAACAGATGAAAAATACTAGTACTTGTGATTGATTGGATAGTAAACTAAGCTTTCACCATTACTTATCTAGCCATGAAAAGAGAGGGCAAGAAGCATTATATTGTCTGAAATGCCACTCAATCACGGCCCCGTACCTTTTCTCTTACCCTGTTTATTCATAAAAAAACCTATCATACCCACTCTTTCATCCATTCCCCACCCCTCCCCTCCTCCCCTAACATCTTTACATTTTTAACCAGAATTCTCCAGCTAACATGAATTAATAAGCAAATGCTTCAGAAGATTATCATGACACAATATACTAAAAATAAAGGTGCTATATGCAAAGAAAATGACCTGCAGTATAACCCCATAGAAGAAAACCACCAAATGACTGACTTTGGCATCTCCTTATGCTTAATTTGGCAGTTAAAAAGATAAGTACACTTTCAAGCCAAGTGGACTTAATATTTTTGTTTGAAAAGTGCATTTATCCTTGCACCGAGTCGTTGTGCACCTGTGCACAGCCATTATGAAGAGAATGCTGGTTAATGTTCAGGGTTCCACCTGGGTGACAGAGGAGGTCTGTGCAGAAGTCAGGAGGGCTCCATCCTGGAACCAGTCTGTGAGACTGGCAGACTGGGGAGCAGTTCACCTCTGTGGTGAAAAGCAGCCTGTGTGGCAAAAGGCAAGCCTGTGTGGTCAGGCCTTTGAATACAGCCTGTGTATCCAGAAGTTTTGAGGTAACGGAACCACCTGAAGTCGGTGAGACTGAAACATGCTTGTTTGATAAGAAAATGGTACTTTATGTTTGAAAACCCCTGCGAGGGAGCACCTGTGTGGACTTTTCTTCTGAGTTGTGCGTTAATAAACGTGGGCAAAGAATCAAACTAGCGTCCTCCCATCACCCTAAGCTCAGTATAGCTCGAGCTACAGCTCGTGGTATACTGAGACGCCGCAGCCGGAGCGGATCCCGACATCGATGTCGAGATCCGCCCAGCTGCGTGAGTGAGAGCCAGCTGTACCCGCCCCCTCCCCCGTCCGTTCTCCCAGTCAGCGCTGGCGGAACGGACGGGAATCCAGTCCCTCCCCTGAACTCAGCCGACCTGTGACACTCATTATCCCAGGTCAGCTAGAACTATGAGGTGAGTGAAAAGCACTCACCTCATAGTTCTCCTTTAAGAGTTCCCTTCACTGGAACTAAGGGGCTAAGCCCAACCCCTGAGAAAAAACCCCACACCATAATCCCCCCTCCACCAAACTTTACACTTGGCACAATGCAGTCAGGCAAGTACCGTTCTCTACGCACTGTTGTTGTGCCAATCTGAAGGCCACACAAAGTTTGGTGGTCTGTAGCTATTGACTGCAGACAGTAGGTGACTTCTGCGCACTGTGTGCTTCAGCAAGAGCTGACCCCGCTCTGTCATTTTACGTGGTCTACCACTTCGTGGCTGAGTTGCTGTTGTTCCCAGTTGCTTCCACTTTGTTATAATACCACTAACAGTTGACTGTGGAATATTTAGTAGCAAGGAAATTTCACGGAACAGCTGAATCCAATTATTTGTTAGGGATGTCCAGATACCAGTGCCAATACTTGGCATTTTTAAGAGAACTGCCAAGGTTGGACCACTACTGTCCTGAAATCATTAGTCTGTATTGTTTTGGGAAAACTGTAACATGACAATAAACAAAAATGTATCAGTGCTTGTACTTGTAAGTACTTGGGCAATTATCAGTACTTGTACTTGGAAAAATGGTATCGGTGCATCCTGAATATATATATATTTTTAAAAAAATCATACATTTAAAAAGGAATGCACAAATCCCAGGAGCTCCCTATGCTCCTTAAAAATGTCAACTTTTTGAAAACAATGCACTCCTGGTGTGGCTGATGCCTTATCCCAACAGCTAAGGGCAGAAAGATTGGCTAAGACTGTCAAATACAGAGCTTCCGCTAGTGGTTTATGTATAAATGTTTTTTATTTTTAAAAAAACAAAGGGATGACTGGTTGTTTTTATCTAGGTACTTAAAAAAAGTTATACTTACCTGAAACACTGAGCCACCTCCCTGCTTCTCCGGTCTCTGAAGCCTCTCTTCTCCTACACTGCAGCATTAGATGTTCTTTAGAGTCCTCACCTCTATACACTGTGTATAGAACGTAAAGATTTACGGGACCTTAGACCGCAGCAGCAAAGGGTGAGCAAGGTTGAAGGAAGCGGTCTAAGAGCAACCTAGCTCAATAGTTCAGGTCAGTATAACTTTTTTACATTTGCACTTAAAATGTGTAAGTCATATTAAAAAAAATTGTCAAAAAACTATTCAGAAGTTTCCAGTTGTATTTCCCCAACTCCCCCCTAATAATTGGACAATTAATCTGCATCACATTACTGCAGATTCATTTTCCAATGCACGAGCAGGTGATACAGGAAAGTATCCCCACTTTAAGGGTTAATGTTTTTAACTAACTGGAGTTCCTTCTTGAATATACAGCAGATCATGAATTTGGAGAACTCAGAACAAACCATTTAGTGAGATAAAGGCCCCAATGAAACTTCCTGTATGGCTTTTTGTGGGCAGATATTATGTTCTAGTTTGTAATGTGTCATGAGTTACACAATCCAACCTATGGAAATATCCTAAAACAACAAAGGAAAGAATAACATGTTATTGGCATGATAGAAAAGAGAGATCTTCTCTCTGGTGGCTGACTAGGATTCAATGTAGAGCTCACACTGTAGTGATAGTGACAGATTAGAAACAGGAGTGATTGTTAGCACATCTGCAGAGCGTGATGAAGGGCCTAGCTATCAGAGACCATTCATGTCAGACCTGTCATAGTTTTGCAGGTATAATATGACACAATACAGTATCCTATAATAACAGGTATTCTGCCTATTCCTCTTATGTGGATAATTCACTGTTATGAAAACAAACTGGCACTTTAAACGTGCAGACCGACAACAAGGTACTTCAAAGAACAGCTATGTTTTAAGCTGCTATTTCTACAACAAGTTTAGTACAGCTGTTTTTTAAGCATCAAAACACAAACAGCGTATCACAACAAAGGGAAAGGAAAATCTGTGTTCTTGTGAAATCAGCTTTGGCAATCATTTAAAGGGGTAAGAACAAACTCTTAGCCAGGGTCTTCTTAATCCAGAGGCAAAAAGGGATTTGGCCCCCCAGGGCCTTGTATGAAGGAAGCTGACTGTAATGCTAAGCTCTGTAGAGAGCTTAGCATTAGGTTTGGGCTGCTTGACTTGACAAACATACCAAAGTAAAGTAATAATGCCCAAAGTAATAATGTCCACTGAATCCTGCATTTATAAACTTTTTGGCCAATTTCAATGAAGGCAAACTTTGTTTTGCATAAGAATCTTTTTGACCCCTATGCTTAAAAATGTTAATTGCTCTATTATGAACTAAAGAAAGAAGAATCTTGCAGGAGAATCTATATAGAGCTACCAACTCATCTGATATTTATAACATCTGGGAACACATATAATCTTGAGATCCCAGCTCATACATCCTCCTAAAGCAGAAGTAAATCCCTTTGTAAATTTTTTGGCTTTGCCCTAATGTGCAAGTGTGCCCTTCTCCAGCACAGATCATTCTTCAGTCCTCAGCTCTGTCCCCCAATGCCACCATCTTGCCGCTGACAATTCTGGGTTTTCGGAAGTCCTCTTCAGCTACTGAGCGACCATGAGGATGCGCACAGGAGTTACAGCCTCCCCAACACCCAGCACATTTACGGCATCTCGGAGATGCCATGAATGGGCTAAGTGTGCACACTGTGTGGCAATAGAAAGTAAAAAATGACTGGGGTAAAGAGAAGAGATTTTTTTTTTTGGGATGAATAGGCTTTGCATGTGTCTTCTGCCAAAAATCCCTACCTCCCAGCAATATTTTATTTTTTTCACTTTATTTCTGCTTTAAGCCCACTTAACTTCAAGCAAACACTATGGCCTGGCATCTCCTCCTTGGCTCACCCATTTATCACTATAGATACTTTATTAGTACTGTAGAGTAGCAGGGCTTTAGTACAAAGTAATAGATTCCACTGAATCATGCATTTCCCAACTATTTAGCCTAATTTTTCAGCTCCCACAATCTATCTTTTTTTTCCATAGTTACAAGTCAATAATGTTGAAGCACATTAGACTAAAGGCCTTACAATACTTCTAAAGTCCGCTTAAATCTTAATCCAGGAAGTGTATGTCAAGGTACCAGCTATACAAATATTTATTACTATTATTATTAGTTATATATAAAAGTTTACCTTTCTCTCCAAGTGTCCTGAAAAACTTAGATGATCCCTTCCATACTGGTGGAGTGTCTAGTAGCAAATTATTCAAGTCCTGTAACAGAGAAAAATAAAACCAAACCATCAACTTGAAGTTCCATAACTTAAAAACGGTTCAGGTCTTTCACCAAACACTAGATATTTTAAAATATGGCAAAACAGTAATCTATGTTCATTGCGAAAAAAGGTCAGTTTTGTTTTTTTGCCATGATATACCTGCTCTGCCCAATGAAATGTGAATTTGACCGTACCCGCTAATCGAGACTTTAGGAAATTTGTGACACAACCTGCTTATAGTTGTATAGTTCTATCTACTAGAAGATCAATTAGGCAACCCGCCAGCTTGGCCCCCAAGTGCGTGGATATTCCAGCGTGGGTGTGTTAGTGAGTCATGCCTACAGCTAGCTGGCTCTGTGAGCAGTAATTGTGATTACTGCCAGTGGTAAAGCAGAGAGCAATATAGCATAGACCACATGCTCTCTTCCTGGCTTTTTACTTAGCAAGGAACTCCTGAGGGCAGGGTGGAAATCTTGAGGACAGGATGGTAGTATGTAGTAAGCATGTGAACTGGTGTCAGTCCATCTGAGGTCTATAGCTTCTCTTTCTAGGGTGTGCAGTTGATTTCAGGGTCCCTAGAAATGCAAGGATGTACTACATTATGTCATTGAAGTCATCACTGTGTGTAATTTGTACTGGTAACGGTGGCATTTCTAACATTGCAGTGTCTTTAATAATGTTTTTTTGTGCAGCATCCTGACAGCATATCTGGTAACATGGAAACATTCTCTGCAGCTTAAAAAAAGAGACTATATTTCACAGACAACATACAGTAGTTAACACTTACATTTACAGAGATACACCACATCCCATAATAAAACCATACCCACTGTCTAGAAAAGATGGCAACCCTAGTCCAGAGTGTCCAGAGTGACTTATATGTATGAATAACAAAGATCTCCCCTCGTCTCATGACAACCTTCTTCTACACTATAGGCCAGACTTTCAAGTGAAAGTTATGCCAGCATTTTCTGTGGCTAGATGCAGCTGTGAATATAGCCACTTTTAGCAAATAACTTATTGTAGGATATTCAACATTTTCATCAAATTAATAAATATTCCAGAAGTGATTGCCTCTCTTCAAGATTACTCTCATATGAAACAGCTACAAACATAACAAAGAAAACTACCCAGAGAAACCTATCAATGAGTAATTCTGTTGTAGAAGAAAGTTAAATAATGACAGAAAACACGCACTTATTGATTTAGAAAACTGAGGACAGACATAACTGTAGAAGGAAAGCTAACATTCCATCATCAGTGCTTTGCAATTTGTCTGCTCAGCCAGCAAATGGACAACATGCCCACTTTCAAACTCACATTTGTGCGCATTTTCATATGATCAGATCTGTATTTGTAATTCATTACAGCAAATGTTCGGCACAAAAAATGAAAATGTAGCCCACTGAATTATTCAGCAATCCCTGTTCAGTGAAATTATTGCAGGATTACAAAGTTATTTCTTATTTCTTTAAAGCGGTTTTAGAAATAGGACTTAGGTCATTAATATGCATTAGTCTTGAGCTGCAAAATCCATGAAAGCAGTTTATAGTTAATGATACTGCAATTCCATTACAAGATTCTGTGAATGCATTCTGTGAATATTTAGTAGACTGAGTTCCTTAGTCTTTTAAAACAAACTGCAGCTATATAATAGAAAAAAATATATAAAAAATAATGAATTTGTATTAAAGTTAAACGAGAGCTCAAGTATTATAATGTTCTATTCCATTTCCTGGAACCTGAGGCATAGCTTAACATTCCCTGGATGAGAGTGTGGACTAGATTGCTAGTTGTAGGACATCTCACCTACATATGTAAGTGTAACATCAAAACTTTTTAATAATGCATTACTGATTGTGGGAGTGACAAGACATGTGCACCACAACTCTAAAATCCCATGATTATAAATAAAACCACAATGCGCAAAGCTTCTTCACACAATATGGCACTGCAAGCCCCTCCTACATAATAAGCCCGTCTTGACAATGCTTCTTTTATGGGGCTAGAAAAAAAAGCATTCTGTACTCAGGTTAAGTGGAGCTGAATTAAAAAAAATAAGGTTTGCTATCTTATTGGTAGGAAAGAAAAGCAACAAGCACCAGTAATTTGAAAGCAACAGCTTCCAATGCATGAGGCCCAATGGCTCTGGGTGGTGGTGGGTTGATAAGGTGATTGTGGTTGTAAATACAACTTAAAACACATCTGCTAAAAAAAAAACCTCACGTTGTAAGTGCCTTCTAGTGCTTTTTAACTTACTCTCAAGGATACTTCCCACCAATTCAATCCCCTTATATTAGGTGACCCAATCAGAGTGTCCCCTTACATTAATTACAAAGATAGAGTGACACTAAACTCAAGAGCTAAATCTTAAAAATGAATTCACGTACCTTAACTTTTATTCCCCATGATCCATGTGTGTGTTGTTAAGTAGCCACCGCTCCAAGTTTACTCCGGTGATGGACAACAATCTCAATACAATTTAGTAAACTAAACGTGAAATTGTGGAAAGAGCTTGGAGTGGTGGTTGCTTTACAACACACATGGAAACCAGAGGGAACAAAAGTAGCCACCCTCCAGAAGGAAGGACAGTGCCAGCCCCAATTCAGAGATGATTTGAGGATCTACAGCTGAGTGATACACAAATAAGATATAGCAAAATTTCAAAATTTCCACTCGCCCCCTCGCAATTTGCGAGTGAAAATTGCATGGGGGCGAGTGGAAATGAAGCCATTGAGTCAGGTATTCAACTCCAGGAGGGACTCCTGGACCTCCTCGGGGCGGCTTCTCTCCTCCTCACCGACATGATCACAGCGCTCCCTCGTCCGTCCGTCCCGGGGGTTGCAGGAGGGAGCGCTACCTGCTGTCTGGATGGCCGAGAGGTGAGGGGGAGAGAAGCCACGCCCCCAGCTGTCAGGATGGCCGAGCGGGGAGGAGGAGAGAAGCTGCACCCCCAGCTGTCAGGATGGCCGAGCGGGGAGGAGATCGGAGCTGCTGTCATCCTGTCAGTTTCAGGATGACAGCGGCTCTGTGCGTAGGAGAGCAGGGGATCGGTAAATATAGGTGATATTTACCGATCCTCCGTGTGAGAAAGACAAACACTGAAGCAATCGTCTGATCACTCCAGTGTTTGTAAATAACTGGGGACACATAGTACTATGTGTCCCCAGTTATGAATGAACAGGCAGTGATTTACATCACAGCCTGTTCATTCAAGATTTCCTCAATGGGGAGAAGCACTCAGTACAGAGGCTCCTCCCCATTCAGAAACTATTGATAGTAAATATTTTACTATAAGTGTCTGAATGAATGGGAAGCCTCTGTACTGAGTGCTTCCCATTCACTGAGTGCTGAGGCTGCTGAAAAAGAAATTGAGGATTTGGTGTCCTCAATTTCTTTTCTATTTTAAAAGGGAAATGTCAGGGGTCTGTTTGGACCCCTAATATTTCCCCAAAGCCCCCCCAACAGTAAAATAATAAATAAATAAATAATACAATAAAAATACAAAATTACAATAAAAAATGTTTTAAAGATTATTTAAAAAAAATTAAAACTGTCCCCCCCACACACACACGCATATTATTAGACTAAAAATTAATTTCAGATGAAATGTTCATGTGTAATGCTCTATGCGTTGTGCTGTGGCTGTATGTGTAATGCCCTGTGCGTTGTGCTGTGGCTGTATGTGTGTTGTGCTGTGTGCGCGTTGTGCCCTGTGTGTGTTTATTTGTGTTATGCAGGGCAACTGGTGGCGAGTAACTGTGAAGGCCTGGCTAGTAGGTCAGGACCTGAAATTTTGAGCCCTGAGATACAGCATTGTTAATAGTTAAGATATTTGAGTATATTTTTAAGATTTCACTTCTGAGTTTAGTGTCACTTTAGGAGACACTGTGATGGGGACAACTAATGTAAAAGGGCACTCTGATGGAAGCAACGAATGTAATGGGGCACCCCGATGGGAGAAATTAATGTAATGGAGCACTATACACAATGTAAGAGTGCCCCCTTATTAATTAGGTGATGATAGTGGAACATGATAGCTCTTCCATCCTACTGTAATGCTGGGGCGGGAAACACAGTTGACAGCATTGGTTGCTGGGAATGCCATGGTCCTAGCAAGCAATGACAGTGGAGGAGGACACCAGACATCATTGTATGTTAGGACGCCAGCGGTCCTAACAACTAATGACTGGAGTGGAGAGGGGGCCTGACTGGCAATCACGGTCCGGACAGAACCGCTGCTCGTCCTGCCATTTAGGAACCCCTGCTATATATGATACTTATTCCATCTAAGATATGATGGAGTATCAGAAAGGCCTTCAGAAAGGCAAAGGACTTTCTGAAAAAGTTAGTCAACTTGGTAAGTTATATTTCCACACAAGACTTTCATTATCTCACAACAATCATCACCAACACGATTAGCTACTAAATGGACCTCTCTTGTAAGACTATTAGCTTAGAAATAGTTCTAATTTTAGATGTGTGGTATGGAGGTATGGGTGATCAGACAGGTATTCTAGGTTTACCTTTCTTGCATGCAATCTCTAAAGAAAAAGACTGACTATGCTTTCATGGCTTTACACAGTATAAAAGAACTGGAATTATTCCACAACGGTTCAATTATTTGATGTCATTAATTTGTTTTACTATAATAAAAACAACTCAAGAAAAAGACACAAAAATGACGTTTAAATTAACTGTAGCTGGAAAATAATTTTTATAAACTTAAAATCTATAATTAAATACTTACTTGTTTGGAAAGTGTTCTCCACTTCTTAGGACCTGAAAAATAATGATAATGTTAATAAATTGTACATTAAAGTCTATTCATTTATAAAAACAAAGTAAAACACAATTATTGTCAGACCTGTAAAATCTGTTTCTCGGAGTACCTTATGGGACACAGGGAGGTAATTCCTGAGTGGATAGTTTATGCAGATACATTCAAGTTATTGGACACAGCCATAACTAAGCTGCTAGGGCAGCCTTGTTAGTTTTGAGCCTCTCTCAGTGTTGTAGCAAGCAGAGTGGATCACAGAAACCAAAGGGGAGGGCCTGTGTCCTGTGATATACTTCAAGAAACAGATTTTACAGGCAAGACAAAAATTCCTGATCGTTCACCACAGGACACAGGGAGTTATTTCTTGAATGGATGGGACACCAAAAAGCAGTCCAACATAGGGGCAGGCAACACACAAACAATGGCTAACAAGTCAGTGAAAACAACTACAGCTAACCCCAACAGGAAACAATAACAGAATGGGCCCACAATTCAGGAGGCTGCCTGAAAAACCTTGCAGCCAAATCTAGCATCCGCAAAGGGCCTGTACGTCCATCTGGTAAAACTTAGCAAACATATTAACAGATTTGGAGTCTTGCAGATTTGGAAAACCGAAGCCTGATGCTATAAGGTTGAGAAGGTACTAACACTCTTGATAGAGTGAGCCGTAACCAGAAAGTGAGAACTTTACCCTTTACTTTGCAGGCCTGAATGATAGTGCTCCGAATCCATCTGGTAAAAGTTCAACAAGAAGCTGGCTGCCCCATGCGAGGACCCTCAGGAATGATGAAGAGGGAGTCAGACTTGCACATAGAAGCTGTAGCATAGAAGTAAACTCAAACAGCTGGAACCACATCCAAACAATGGAGAGAAACTTCAATAAGATGTTTTGATGCAGGACATAAGGATGATGGTACAATGTCCTGGTTAAGATGGATGGCAAAGACTACCTTAGGAAGAGAGTAGGTCTTAAGTTTCAGTACTTACTTATCATTATGAATAGCTGCAAGGGTCTGATTACAAGTAAAGGCCGTCATCTCAGAAACATGTCTGGCAGAAGTAATATTGGCAAGGAAGGCAACCTTGCGAGAAGGGTCAGAGTAATATCTCTGAGAGGTTCAAAGGGCAGCTTTTGCAAAGCCGAAGTTGAGGTCCCGGTGTATCCACCGGAATGCATACAGGGGGAATAACATGTGTGACCCCCTGCACAAAGACCTTCAGTCGAGAGTGAGAGGAAAATGGTCTCTCAAAAAGGATAGCCATAGCACATATTTGGCCCATGATAGTATCTAAGGATAAATGGTTGTCTAGACTAGAGTGGAGCAAAGATAGGATGAGTCTTACTGAGTACTTCCTAAGATGGAACATCCTCACTTTGCACCAAGCAAAATAAGACTTCTAGGTGCAATGATAGACCTTGCGAGACGTACATTTCCTAGTTTGCAGAAGTGTAGGGATGACAGCTTCCAAGAGACCTCTGTCTTTCAAGACCTCTGCTTTAAAAGTCAGGTTGTTAAAGTCAGTGACCGAAAAATAGGGTGGAATACCATTCCTTAAGACAATAGGTCAGGACGACCCAGAACTGCCCACAGAGAATCTGCCAGGAGTTTAAGAATGTACCACGTACTCCTGGGCCAGTTGGCAACAAAAAGGATCATCGGAATGCCCTCTTGTTTCGGCGAATGATTTGAGGCAGGAGTTCAGAAGATGGACGACTTAGATCAGACTAAACTGGATCCAAAACTGGAGCAAAACTCCAGCTTGTAACCCTTGGTTATGACACTCTCAACCCCGGTATCAGGAATGTTGTGGACCGAGGAGGCTGACAGACATCCACCCACTTGAGAGGACCCTTCATAATGAAGAGGGCTTGTTCCCAGTTTTTATGGGATCATAGGGCCAGGATTCACAATGAAATTGAAAGTCCAGCTTGGATTTGGATCCTGAGGCATGGGAGGTATGAAAGGAACCCTACTTGAGGGAGCAAATATTTTGCCAGTCTGAGGCTTGGACTTCTGAGTTAGGTAGGTGGTTTTAACACACCCCCTTCCTCCGTAGTAACTTCCTTGATATAAGTATCCAAGGATTCACCAAACAGGTGTTTCCCTGTAAAGGGCATGTGTTTAGAGCACTGCATACCATCATTTTAGGCATGGGATATGTTGCATATGGACAGACAGGAGACCCATTCTGGAGATTTGTCTAAGGGAAATCATCAGGCCATCTACACAGTAGAGCAAAACCACAGGAAAGAGCTTTAGACATTTTAAAGCAGTGGAGTCCCTCGAGATGAACCCAGAGTCTCTAGCCATAGCCTTTGACCATACAAATGAGGTGTGACACACCACCATGGTGGCAACAGCAGGTTGCCTGGTAAGGCCTACAAGGGCAAATGAGGCCTTAAAGAGGTTGTCTAACCTCTTGTCCACGTGGTCCTTAAAAACAGCAACATCTTCTACAGAGATCATTAAAATCTTCTTTAAACAAGAAATAGCCGAATCTACAACAGGGACAGCCCCTTTCTCAAAGGAAACATTCCTCAATAGGGTATTGCTCAGCACACTATTCAGGAAGAGCAAACTGTTTTTCATCCCAGTCACAGTACAACACTAGTGTAAAGGAAAGGTTTTAGCAGATTTGGCCATTTCTAAGGAACCCAGACTAGCAACATTTGGCAAAGTCGATGTAGGGGGCTCTAACCGTAAACTACAAACCACATCCACAGATATAGTATCCCTGACATAAAAGAATTATTGGGAGACAGGTCTTCTTTTTGGGCTCAGTCCACAGAACTGGAATCAGCTTCACCATCTTCTTTTTCAGGGAGCACACAAGGAGGCAGAGAAAGTTCAGAAGGGGGGCTCTGAAGGGGAGAAGCGGCCAGTTTAAGCCCGTTGTCTGAGGACTCTAAAAGTGCAGACATTTTTCTCAAACATTCCACCATTATAGCGGTAAACTCCTCTCTGGACATGGTAAAGGAGGGAGCCCTGAAAGGTGCTGAGATGGACCCTGAGTTGGGCAGTGAAGAAACAGTCAGAGATATTGAAAAACAGGGTCTCCAGAGGGACAGAACCATTGTTAAGCTGTTCGGCCCCAGAGCTTGTGTCCCACACCTCCTGTGCTTATGATCTGCCATTGCCTGTGAGGTTTGCCCCAAGTGCTCACTACTTTGGAGGATATCTAGTGTGCCAGCATTGTACGTAGAAGCAGTAACCCAGAGCAATGGACAGCAGAGATCTAGACTCCTTCAGCAGTTGCAGCAGTAGTTGGAACAGTGTGTGTAGCCAACTCAGCGTGCTTCATGAAAGAAAAATGGCCGGTGCATGCACAGTAGGATCACCCAGACAAAGGCTTCCCAGGCAGCTTATGGACACTGGGGAAAGATGCCAAATTTAAAAATAGAGGTGAGCAACGCAGTGGCTGTAAGCAGTATTTGGGAAACTTACTAGTGGAGTCTTCAGTAAAAAGAGAAGAAAATAATGTGTTTCTCTCAGAGCAGATCCATCACCTAAGGACACTAGCAATTAACTGAGGTTCTCGTACCACGGTTCACCTGCAAACTATCACTTGTTTGTCTCCTTTAGCTCAAAGTCAGCTGATGCTTTGGCCATGCAGGGCACCAGCAGTACATATTCACTCTTCTTTTTCTTCCATGCCTTTACGTTTGGTTGTCAGGAAAAAAAGAGAAATACCTAAAATATGGGGCATTATGTGACTCCCTTCCACCTAGAAGATATGTTGTCCGCACACCATTCTGCTTCGGAATGTCATCATTATTCATATTCCTTTAGCATGACACATGAATGCAACATTTCGAGCCACACAGGACTCCTTCGTCACGCAAAGTGTTCCTTCCTCCCATGTCACAATGGTTGGTGCTTGGACACTAAGGTACTCAGGGTTGTCACATAAATCAGGGAGAAAGTCCTCAGTCCTGTGTAAGATTCAAATCCGTAACTTTATCTATTTTCAGCTGAACAGAGCGACGGGGGGAGCAAAGGAGGGTAAGTATGTGCATCTGGTAGGACTAGCATGGGAGTGACCCTGTGACAGGTTCACATTAAAATGGCCGACAACCTAGTACAATAGGCTGTGCTGCACCTTTGATATAGGAGGCAGTGTCTTTTGCATATATATCTGTAAGCATTACTAGTATCCCTTTTACATGAAGTAACTGGAACCTTAGAAAAATCTGAGCTTCAAGGAGAATTCCAGGGAAAAATATTAACCATTGCAGAGGGGCTAACTGCCTGTTTTGCTCTAGGGCTGAAAGTAACAAAGTTATACTCACCCAACCCTCAGAGCTGGCCAGCAGTGACAGAGCTCCCTCCAGCCTCTCTCTTCCTACACTGCAGCAATGGAATGTCCCTTGTCATCCTCATGTTCTATACACTGTGTATAGAAGGTGATAGTTTATGGGACCTAAGACCACTGCCACGGAAGGAGAGAGAAGTTCCAAGGACATGTTGACTCTGAGGATCAAGTTAGTATAACCTCACCTAGACACAAACAAGACTTAACCCTTGCAGTGCGGGGGTAGCCCCACTGCAAGGATTAATAATAATTTTAGCTCTTCTTTAAAGTCTGTCCTGCACCATCATAATCATTATCATCATCAATGAATTAATTTCCTGCATGTGCACTGTATATTCTGCTGTACGGTACTCTAGGATACAATGCTGTTAATTAGCACTAGGCTATCCAAAAACATATCACAGAGATCTGAAGAAATAAACATCTGTTTACCTAAGAAACATCATTTGTAATATACATATACATGGTTATTCCCTGAAGCATCATTATCTAGCAACGTTCCATGTATGAATGATTTCTTTCAGTATAGGAAAACGTTGCTGTTTATGGTCTTCCACAAATTGCACTGAAACTCTGGTAACACTTATGTCTGTGTGTCTCCTTTTGTTTATAAAATGATATAAATGCCGATTAATATTGATAAGACTTACTTTTCGGTTCATCTGTAGTAACTGATTCTAGGAAATCCCTTGGGGTCATATATAACTGTCCTTCATATTCTAGTGAGGCAAACACACGGAAGCGCTGTTCTCGGGAGCTGGCAAACATGTCTAGATCTTCCAAGTCGGGTCTGTCTGGTGGGCTCTGTGGGAAGGAAAGCCATCATTATACGATGCAAATATGGTTGTAGAAAAGAAAGGCATGGACACTAAAAACCGTTATGTAGAAAGAGATTTTGTTCATGGAATAAGTAGAAGATGTAATCACCAGGTTAACCATGTCATTAAATGTAGTAAATACTGACAAAAAATATATACAATCTCTGTTTTACAAATACACAATTATTACCTGACAAAGGACTTTCAGAGCACTATGACTTACTTATATAAAAATATATATCAGCATTTGCAGAATAGTCACACATATTACCAAAACAAATGTTTTTACCATGAGCACATCTTATTTTCCGATATGTGATATCACTATGTGAAATAGACACTGCTGGCTGCAAATAAACCTACATAACATGACAATAAAACATTTAAAAAAATTGTGAAGGAAATTTATAAAAAATGGAGCAGACAGAATCTGCCATGCAGGTGCGTGGGGATGCTATTCAAAATGAAAAGGTGCCGCAGTGCACCAACACACAAAATGAGGAACTTATCAAAACTGGAGCAGGCAGAATCTGGAGCCATTGCCCAAGGCAACCAATCAGCTTCTTTCATTCTCAAAACGTAACTGAACAAAATGAAAAGAGAGGCTGATTGGTTACTATGGGCAACTGCACCAGATTTTGTCTGCTCCATTTGCAATCATTCCCCCCCGTATTTTATATCCCAATCATATTAAATAAAGAAAATATTTAGAGAACCATCTTACATTGCCTGATATTTAATAAATACACAAGAAATAAAAAATAGGAAACATGTAATAAAATATAAATGTATCATAAATAAAAGAAAATGAGGCTCATATTTGTAGCATTGTATTTTTAATGTCTGTTAAATGAAACAAGGTTTGAAAAAAGAAGTTCCAAAGTTAGAAATGCTATTGAGGCCAAAATGAAATATTTCTTCAAAGATCACTTGATTATCTGCAGTGAACTCTTGGTAACATTCAGAGGACAGCATGGCTGCCCAAGCTGCAGAACTAAGCAAACAGATTTTGTGTTTAGCCAACTTACAAATACATCACTTCGTTTATTTTGGAACCTAATTGATTTGAAGCTATTCAATGAAAGGTAGCAATTAAGGGATCTTTGAACTACTGTTAATGGTTCTTTTTAAACCAAGCGCAAACTACGGCACAGAAAAAGTTTGTTGCAAACGTATAATCCAGACACATTTAACAAAGAAAAAAAAAAGCTTAAAAGTATGTTTGCTTTCAGTGTCCAGTGCGTTGCAAGATGGTTATCTCACAGCATAGAAACAACCACGCTATCTACTCAAACGTTTTGAATGAGTAAAAGGAAATTGCTCAAAATTTCAAGAACACTGCAGTTGTGCAACTGGAACCGCTTAATGTAAAGGGCATCTCCACTGATACATGATAAAGATGAAAGCAAGGCAATAACACACGACTGCTATAGATACAGTACATACTGTATACTGTGTGTATAGTCGGAGCCTTCCATTGGATAATAGGTCTAGTTTTTCAGCAATGTTATGTGCCCAAAAAATGAGGTCAGCTGCCTACCTCAATATACTGAATGACCAGGTTGTTTTTCAACAATGGATTTTTTCTTCCCTGATGGCATGGGTATAATCCAAGATAACAATGCCAGGATTCATCAGGCTCAAATTGTGAATGAGTGGTTTGGGGAGCATGAGACATCATTTTCACACATGGATTTGCCACCAGAGCCCAAACCTGAACCACATTGAGACTATTTGGGATGTGCTGGAGAAGACTTTACGCAGTGGTCCGACTCTCCCATGATCACTACAAGATGTACAAAAACAAGCTTATGCAAACGAAGCCATGGCGAATACGTGCTGTAATCAAAGCTAAGGTGGTCCAACAAAATATAAGCGCATGTGACTTTTTTTTTCTGGATGTACCGTATATAAATTCTAATATATATATCATCTCCGTTTCCCACATACATTCTCACATACTTGGTGAGTAGCTTTAGGGTTTATGGCTCAAATGTTTTGTTTTTTCAAAATCTGTTCTGCTCTGGTTCCTGGTGGCTTCATAGAGGGTTGGGTAGGATAAGGTCTCATGTACCCTAGCTGGCTGCGATAAGTAAAAGAGATGTTATCTGGTAAGCTTTATGCTTCCCAGATCACCTTTTCCTGTGCTGGGCTTAGGCCAGTTTACATATGTTTACATGCGTGCAGACATTTCTAGTTTTTGGTAAACTGAGCTAGACTGAATGCACCTAGATTCTGCTGGATGTCTTGGTGTGCATTCAGTCATAGAAAAGCATTACATCAGTCCAGGCGGGTTTAGAAATGAGCTCCACATGTACCTGAACTCATGTTTTTTCAACGTAGTGTGCATGAGGCCTAAAGCCTCCATTATAAGGTCCACATCTTACTTGGTAGCCAGACCTCATTATTAGTCTCAGCTAGGGCTGCAACAACTAATTGACTAAATGGATTATTGAAAAGGTTGTAAATTTTTTCAATCATAGATTAATCGGCTTCCGATTTAGAAGAAGTAAGGAGGAGCAGGTGTGGGGGGATGACAGCCGTAGATAGACCGGCCCAATCTCAGAAGCAAATTGCTGGAAGACTGCTCAGGTAAGCCTGCACTTTCCCACACATGGTGCTCTATAATGTATTGCTGGGATTTGTATTCCTATATAGCTGGTGGTATTCTGCATTGGGCTGTATAGAGGACTACAAACCCCAGCAATAATACATTATACAAGCCTGTTTGGACTGTTCCTGGGTGTCCCTGAGCCTGTCCCTTTACTCTCTATCTGTGTATTTTTTTAATTTTTATTTAAAGGCCAAAAATCACAAAAGCAAATTTTAATAAACTTCCAATATTTTCTTGGAGGGCATCTGTCAGAGCAACCCCTGCTAATTATATTTACAACTGAAGGAATTGGCAACATAATTCCAAAAGTGGAAAAGGGTAGTGGTGATAGGTTTAATGGCTCATAGATCAGCAATAAATCTGTGACTTCATAAAGTGTATCTATCATTACAGCATAAACCATCCTAAGACTTTGTTCACATTGGCTTCAGATTGTATAGAAGTGCACAACAAGCATTTACAACATTTCATCCCTTTTTCAGAGGAGGGTAGGCCTTGAAGCAAGAGAAAAATATAAGTGCTCAATAAGTCTTCTCCAGTTACCCCGGATTACCGATCACTGGTTTCCGTTCTTAGGTATACCACTGTACAGGGAACCATTGGCCTGTGCCAGTTACTGCTCTATTGTGCAGTTCTAAGTTTGTGCCACAGATTTCCATGCAGACCCCATCCATTAAGTCTTACCTCTACTTGTACAGCAATTACATTTATAGTGACAGGTCATTGAAATAAAAATGTTAACAATTTAAGTGTGGAAAATGGTGAAACCGTCAACTATACACATAAGTATATATTTTCACCACTTGCTACAAAATGTCTTGGGATACATACAGCATACATGGATGGGGGGAAACGACAGGATATAGTTTCTTTAGAGCGGTTTAAAGGGCAAGAAAAATAAAGGAAGCAAACCAAGTGTACATATTTGATACACAATCATTTTGCCGGGCAGAAAACCCATTTTGAAATTTGTCTCCCACTCCTGCATGCCCTGCAAAATATCCCACCGGGCAATGGGGAACCCAAGTTACCATAGCAGGCATCGTCAAATTGCCATTTATTTCCTAACTGAGTCCTATAAGTATTTCTGGGAATATTGGCATGACAACTGTCAGGATATAAATATGGGGATTCTATTGATTTAATGATAGAAAAACATAATTCCAATTCAATTTCACAAAACGAAAAACACTAATTTTGAGGTCACACGCATCTGAAGCCAATTATGTAGAATAAATCAATAAATATCCAAAAATTATAGGAGATGTGTGGCCACTCCCCCATTATAGCTTTTAATGGTGGGAGGCCATAGACACCGCATTTTTCTAGTTTACCTCCAATAGTCTTAAAAACAGGTCACGTACAGAAAATAAATAATTCTAGGTGCCAGATTGAGTTGAATTAATTTGCATATGAGCAGACTTTGCAGCTTCTGAAATGGAGACCAAACTGTTAACAGGTTATATTTAGAGATACAAACAACTGCGGTAAAAGAAGCTATCACACATTTTTTGTTTAGACTAAAATTCTTTAAAACTAAGATTAGACTCAACAACCTGGTTTGCGCCTTTGTGAATAGGCTTTTTAAAGGTAGTTTGTGCTATGTTGCATGTGGGGACTCTAAATAAACACAACAGATCAATCTAGCTGATGCTTGGTCTTTAATGGTTACGTTACTTCATTATCCTATAGGTAAGAAGAGAAAAGGTTCACTGCCAAGGCATTGTCTCGCATTACGTTAGGTCACTAATTCAAAAGTTTCACTCAGCGGGCAAAATATTTGGTTTTCCCATACAGACAAGATTAAATGCCAGATAAGGGATTCACTGCCTGACAGAGGATACCGATCCCTACAAGCTGATAATATCCTAAACAGGTAAACTGAAACAATTATATCAGTTATCTAGACCCTACACAATGGCCTGTCTTTCATCATCCCATAGATACCTGCACATGATCATGTGACGGCTGTGAGGTGGGAACGCTTTGAGGTCAGTGTGCATATGGTGGAAATGGATTACTGTTACTTGCACTGCTGTTCATTTATTCTCCCAACTCAGACAGAGTTGACACCTGTAACCTGGGGATGCCACTTGCTGAATAATACTCACAATGCAAATAATTAATGGGTAGGTCTATGCAAACCTAACGTATCACATTTGGGTGCATGCAAAGAAGTTGAGTCACTGACTTGTTATATATTTGGAAGAACTGAGATGGATGATGTCTCTTTTTTTTCCTAAATCTCAGTTCCTCTGCTTTCTCCACCTACTTGCACTATGGTTTACATTAGACTAGGCAATAGTGTCATGCTCTCCCTACTGGACCATATGTAGTAATAAACTAGATATAAATAGAGGTGTGAAGAATGG